GAAGGAGGATGTTGCAGTATCCTTCCCCTGCCACGCCCAAGCCACACCACGCCCACCAAGCCACGCCACGCCCACCGAGCCACGCCCACAGAACCAGTAGTAAAAAAAAAATTGAATTTCACCACTGCTTCAAAGGACATTCTTCACTTATTCAAAGCATTTCCCTCATCCCCATTTCTACAATCTGGGGGTGTCTTCGGAAATATGAACTTCAGTTCTGGGGGTTTCCCAGTCACCCTGGCCATTTCCAAAACTCTGGAAGTTGATTTTCATGCATCAACCCTGAGAAAGTGTCCAAGTTGGGGAAGGCTGATTTGAGATCCTAAGGATCAGCACCAGAACTGTGGACCCAGGAATCTGGACAGCAGATGAAGCTGTTTTAGAGGCAGAACCAGACTGGAGTCCACATTGCTCGGAATGATTTACCTTAATTAAAAGAAAGTTCTCCAGCATGGCAAACAAGAACATGGGACCTTCTGAGACGAATCATGTTGGATGTTCTATTTAAATGAACACCAGGCCTTTACTAGAGCTAGTGCAGCTGATAATGGAATCCAGATCTCAGATTACTCTTTAGATTACATAAAATTAGTCTGTTGGTGATATTCTGGAAGCCATCGAGAAGGGGGCTGTTCTTTGTCACTGATGAAAGTGAGCTGGGTCACCTCATCTTTTAATGAGAAATGTTTATCTTAGATCAGTGTGTTAGGGTTCCAAGTAATACACCCGTCGCAAACCGAACTCCAAGGCAAGAAAGAAGAACAGATTTATTGGATATATAATATTGGCACACCCTGGTGAAAACCAACTCTAAAGGTTCCTGTGATTTTCACCTAATTAAAAGTAATGTTTTTCCCCCTTTTCCCAAACAATCAGTCACATGGTCCAATCCAGTTGCCTGGAAACTTCACTCCTCCTCTTTCCAGCCACCTGGGGGAAACGTCCTTGATTCTCAAGAGGAACTATTTTGTTTTGGCTACAAAGCCCCCAGCTATCTCTATTCCCCCCGCTCCCTATTCCTCAGCACAATTGTACCAACACTGAAGCCTCCAAGATAAGCCCCGGATAGGCAGCTTCAGAGTTGACACAGTGTTCTTCAACCTCACCAGCTTTAAGAAGGGAAGACTTCAACTCCCAGAATTCCACACACCAAAGTTTCTAAGGTAGGGAAGCTTTGTCTGAAATCGCTCTCCCTCATCACAAAGTGTTGGGGCTTGCCAGCAGCCAGCAGAGCTGGCAGCACAGTTGGACAACGAGGAAGTTGGGGAGGAACATGGGCCAGTCCTGGAGGCTGGGGAAGGCTCTGATGAGGGCTCTGCATCAGAGGCAGAGAGGGGGCCAGGGCCGTCTGCCAGTTCTAAGTTGCCTTCAGAGCTAGAAGCAGTGAGGCAGAGGAACAGCTGGAGGCTGTTCCCGGTGTGCGCATGCGCAGAGCTGCCAGTAGAAAAGAACAGCTCAGAAATCAGGGTCGACTTGCGAGTAAAGTCAAAGGTAGAAGGTGATTGTCCCCTCCCATAGGAAACAAAAGAGGAGTGAAAGGGGAGTGGGCTTTTTCAGGAAACAATTCATTCATTAGTTTAGTTTCAGGAGTGTGAAGATCTGTCCGTGAATCTCAGAGACTCTGTGCCCAGCCTTTCCTTGCACAGCACCTCATTTGGGAAATATTGACATCATGGCAGCTTTCCAAGACAGATAAGGTCTGTGGTCATAAATATTCCTTTGAAAGACTGTTTGCCAGGCCTTTGCTGAATGTGAATGAGAGGAATTTACATTCGTTTAATAAAAGGGGTTTTGTCGGGACCAGGAATCTGCTTCATGTCCTTTTTGGGGAAGCCGAGATCAGAACAGTTTCAGTCTTGTTGCAGAGATAACAAACAAATAAGTCATCCTTCTTTGAGGAAGGAAT